CTTGACGGAGTCAAAAAGCGAGACATAGGTATGCTGTTTCCGGTGTCAGTGGCAGCGATGGCAGCGGCGGCTTCATAACTGTATTAGTTTGTGATTAGGTCTAGTTCATGGTGAACCACTAGTGGTAGGTCAATGATATTTGGTATGCAGTTGTATTAGCATTGGCACATCTCATTACCATGGAGATTATTTGGCCCAGCCCCCTCAGTCAAGGTCTATTGACTTTGAAACTTTTCATAGTTTACATGTATTAGTTTGTGATTAGGTCAATTTATGGGGAACCACTAGTGGTAGGTCAATGATATTTGGTATGCAGTTGTATATAAGCATTGGCATATCTCATTTCCATGGAGATTATTTGGCTCCGCCCCCTTAGTCATGGTCTATAGACTTTGAAAATTTTGCTAAGTTAACATGTATTAGTTTGTGATTAGGTCAGTTCAAGGGGAACCATTAGTGGTAGGCCAATGTTAATTGGTGTTCAGTTGTATAAGCATTAGCACATCTCATTTCCATGGAGAATATTTGGCCCTGCCCCCTCAGTCATGGTCTATTTACTTTGAAACTTTTGCTTAGTTTAATGTATTAGTTTGTGATTAGATCAGATTCGGATGAACTGCTAATGTTAAGTCAATGATATTAGGTATGCAAATTTATTGGCATTTGCAAGTATCATTTCCATGGAGATAATATAGCCCCACCCCTGATCATGGTTCATTGACTTTGAAACTTTTACATAGTTTACAAGTTAATGTTTGTGTTTAGGTTTGTTTAAAGGGAACGACTTATAATAAGTCAATGGTATTTGGTATGCAGTTGTATTAGCATTGGCACATCTCATTCCATGGAGATTGTTTAGCCATGTACCTTCAGTCATGGTTCATCGACTTTGAATATTTGCATAACTTACATGTTAAAGTATTGCTATTTTAATTTCAACATTTACATTATCAAAATTACAAAAAGGCGAGACATATCTCTGTGATAACAGTTTATGGTTTAAGGTAGTTTCCATGATGTTGTGGTCACATCAGCTTGAAACTTAATACACAAGTTCATTATGATATGAGTTTTAAAAAAATGTATGCCAAATTAGAATTTTGACTAAAGATTTTGTGGTTCCTTGATTAGGTTGAGGTTTTTGTTTAAGGTAGGTTAAAGTTGTGGTTTTAGGTGGTTCTCCTTGAAATTGTGGTCACATCAACATGATATATGTGCAAAATAGGGGTTTTGACCTAGATCATGGAAATGTGATGGTGCAATTATGCATGGTGTCTTATGGACCCATTTTCTTGTTTTTATATATATTTGGCTTCCTTATTTTTCATCTCAAGTGCACCAGATGATGGTGACCTGCATTCTGAAATCATGGTACAATTATTAATGTGAAATGTTTAAGGGAAGATAAGAATTTGGATTATTATTTATGGCCTAATAAAATATATTGAAAGTATCTGAAGGATATGTTCTGTTGATATTTTTTCTTTCCAGTATGTCCCCTCAGTATGTTCAATCGACCAAAGCTTGGAGACCAAATAGCCTGCCACATTACAGAATCCTGTACTGGAATTGATTGCTGTGCCAATATTCCTTTCTTTGGACTGACAGTTAGGCCATTTTTTGTGTTGGATCCTTGTGAATACAAGATATCATATGGAATCAATACAGAAAATGTGACAAAATCACTCTTTGACTATGAATGGGGTAAGTGATGTTGAAGATGAAATGATTGAAAAGTATCTCATTTCACTGAAATATCCAGGAAAATTACAAACATTTTGTTTGAGACTGAGAAAAAGTTCAAAAAGCAAGGCTTGATGATACATGTATATATACTATGTGAATAGTTTAGACTTTGTACTAATTTTTCTTTATGTTATTTTTACAATCAACTTCAATGTGAGAAAAGAACATTCGTTAATTAGATTTCTTATTGCCAAACTTAGTGGCAAAATTCAGGTCTTTACAACTTAATAGTTCAAAGAAAATGAGATAGGTTCAGATTAAATGGAATTGTTTGAAACTGTTTTTAACATGTTTCAAAATGGTATGTTTATGTTTTAGGAAAAACCGAAAGAATCTCCTTGGCACAAGATCTGATTGTGTTTGAGTAAGTTGTGAAAAAGAAGGAGTTATGAATAATATATTAATTGTTTGTTTTGTTGACCTGTATTACATTATCAGTTAGTTGCTCTAATCAGGTTTATAACATACAATATAAAGTATTGAAAAGTCCTTATTTTGTTGGTTTACAGTTTCATATCATCAGATGTTAAATAATCCATTTTAATGTTATGAATTTCAGTTTGAAATTTCAGCTTACGGTCTCCCCATTGTAAGATATTTTTAAGGTGTCTTATGAAATTATCTTTGCTATCTATCATTTTTGTCTTGTCAATAGTTGTGGAGGGGAGACTTTATTGTGCTGTAACAATACTGTTTCAGTGTGGGTGGCAATTGTTAAAGCTTGTGATATGGATACACTAGTGAGAGAAAATTCTTTATTGTTTAATCATTTTAATATGTTTCTTTGTAGGTTTTCTGTCAAAAAGCCTCCAAATTTGAAGAAGTTCATTCTTGATTTGAGTATTAAAGTTTGTTTGGGTGATGACTCAAACTGTGTTCCAAATAAAAAGATATTTGATAACACAGAGATTCCTCAGCTTGTTTGTGATATGGACGCTGAGATTGATTTAAAAGGTAATGATTTTAATATCTGATGTGAACAAAGCCCCACCGGTTTTTAAAGAGTCTTCTTGTTGTTGAATAAATGATAATATTTTCTGTATTTGTTTAAAACAGTTGTACCATAATGTAAAATAATATATAAATACCGTCATTTTAAATGAGAAAGTCCAATAAATATATTGCATTTCTGAATAAGCTATAAAAGTTTTTACTGTTCATTTCAAAATGGTGGAATACTCTGATGCTACCTTAATTAACATTAAGACCTTGAATGAACTAAAGCATTTTTGTCGAGCCTTCGACTTTTGTCGAAAAAGCGAGACATAGCGATCCTACATTCCGTCGGCGTCGTCGTCGTCGGCGGCGGCGGCGTCCACAAATATTCACTCTGTGGTTAAAGTTTTTGAAATTTTAATAACTTTCTTAAACTATCCTGGATGTCTACCAAACTTGGACAGAAGCTTGTTTATGATCATAAGATAATATTCAAAAGTAAATTTTGTAAAAAAAAAAATCCATTTTTTCCGTATTTTACTTATAAATGGACTTAGTTTTTCTGCCAGGAAACATTACATTCACTCTGTGGTTAAAGTTTTTGAAATTTTAATAACTTTCTTAAACTATCCTGGATTTCTACCAAACTTGGAAAGAAGCTTGTTTATGATCATAAGATAGTATCCAGAAGTATATTTTGTAAAAAAAAAATTCCATTTTTTCCGTATTTTACTTATAAATGGACTTAGTTTTTCTGCCAGTTAACATTACATTCACTCTGTGGTTAAAGTTTTTAAAATTTTAACAACTTTCTTAAACTATCCTGGATTTGTACCAAACTTGGACAGAAGCTTGTTTATGATTAAAAGCTAGTATCTAGAAGGAAATTTTGTTAAAATTTTGTTCCATTTTTTCCGTATTTTACTTATAAATGGACTTAGTTTTTCTTCCAGTTAACATTACATACAGTCTGCAGTTTAAGTTTTTAAAACATTTATTAGATTCATAAACTATCCTGGATTTTTTCCAAACTTGGACAGAAGCTACTTACAATCAAAAGATAGTATAGAGAGGAATATTTTTATTAATTTTTTTCTCATTTTTTTTAGCCTGTGATTAACAGCAAAAGTAGGCGAGACACTGGGTTCCGCGGAACCCTTACGAATTTTTCTTACGAGAAGTTCTTTTTGAAATATATTAAATGTGACTTTTAAATGTTTTTCTTGTCAGAGTCTAAAATTACAAGTAAGAATACGATTGTGTGCTCTTTATCTTTGACGTCAAATATAAGCATCTTTGTAAATATCATTTACTGTAAATTCAGAAATTATTGCAGGGTTTTTATTAATGCGAATAATGCGACTAGGTGAGTATCTCAATGATAAAAACTCGCATTTTGATAACTGAAACATAGGTCTGTATATAGATTTTTCTGAAATCGCATTCTTGTCCATTTTTTAAAAATAGCAATAATAAATGCACGCATTAATTTCCGAATTTACAATATTCCAATTCCTTTTTGAAGAAAAAACAAATCCTTTTTATTATATGATGTATAATATGATATTTATAATGATCATCCTGAGTGGTCTTTTATTTTTTGTATGCAAATGTGTTGTAGTGTTGTATGTTGTATTCTACATCAACAAAATAATTTTGAATTTGTAAGATTCCTATAAATGCTATTGTAGCCCATGGATTTTTTAAGATGTAAATTTGAAAAGTTTTGATAGAGACTTAAACTAGAATAATCATATTTTGTTTTCAGATTTTTCCTTAACAGACTGGGCCAACAACTTAGAAATTAATATCACCGGACAGATGAAACCATCTTACATTAAACTTTTACTTCAACAGCTTGGATTAGATGTTTTGTTGAAGTCTCCACCATGTAGTCATGGAGATGGCTTGTATTACCCATCAACAAATGGATGGAAAAATGGTATGATTTAATTTTGATATATAATAAATCTAGTAAAAAAATAAACTTAACATTGATATATCTTTTAGGTGAATACAGATAAAAAGCAGAAGCCACTTTCATATTTTCGTAAATATTATCATACTGCTCCTCTTCATTTGATTGTATCAATGATGGGTCTTCAAAAAATGTCTTTATATATGACTTTTCAATTAAATAGTCGCAAGGAAACTTGGGTTTTTTTTTTATTCTTTCGTTCTTAGTTTTTGAGCTGCACAAACTCATATGGCAATTATTTTAAAGAATCTCTGCTTATTGTATATGTTCAGTTTCATATGAGAGGGAAGGTGCTCTCAACTCTGATCTTAATTATCTAGGGTTGCCAGTTTTTATGCCGATGGCCAGTGGTTCTCCAGTTGTACTCTGGCTTCCTCCACCAATAAAAACTGGCCACCATGAAGTAGCCAAGGGTGTTGAAAGTGGTGCTATAAATACCAACAATCAATCAATCATAGTAGGTGCAGAGGATAACGAAATATAGAGTAACACACTAAGTTTAAAGAAAGATAAGGGTAAAAAGTTCTTTTATTTGTATACAGTTGTCAAGTTTTTTTAAGCAATTTATCTTGCTTTAAATGATTTATTATTTATAAATTGTCCAGCAGTTCATCATGTTTTAATGATTTATTTTGAATAGATTGTCCAGCGATCACAGCACTACAAGACTTACCAGAGTCCCTCGTTTGTTATCTTCCTGACTACTGTACTGGTATAGACTGCTGTTATAACTTTAACTACCTGGATTTGTCACTTAACATAAACTTATACATTGATACCTGTAATTACCTGATTAAAGGCAGAATAGAAACTCTCCAGTTTGAGATCACATTCTTTGACTATACTTGGGGTAAGTCTATATCTAGAAATTAAACTACCTGGATCTACACCTTAACATTAACTTGTACATAGATACCTGTAATTACCTGATTAAAGGCAGAATAGAAACTCTCCAGTTTGAGATCTCATTCTTTGATTATACTTGGGGTAAGTCTATATCTAACAATTACTCATTAGGAATGACCTTAAGTAAGTAGGTAAAATTTAGAGTTGGGACAAGATATGTACAAATTAACATAGTAAATGGATTGATTTCATAATTGGTTAAAACCATAAACAAAGTTATTGTAACTCAACTTTTATATCCAATCAATGAAAATGGTCCGATTCAATTTCTATTTGTTGGTTGTAAAAGTAAAAAAAAATCCTTAAATTTCATTGATATTAACAATCAACTGACAACCTTTTTTTTTTTTTGAATGATGAAATAAAATTATATATAATTATAAATTACAGCTACTCAGCTGTTTAAAATGCATCGATATACACAAATCCTTATAATAGCCCACTCTCTTAAAAGGCCAATTTCATGATACAGAGACAAGAGTTTGGTTAAACATCAATGAGACTGTATCCGAACAAAAATGACGAAAAGTTAACCAATTTTAATTTTGAATAGTACAAATTTGTGGTAATTTATGTTGTCTTTGATTTCATTATTATCTTGCTTTCAAGGTAACATAAAGGAAGAGAGGTTACAGGAGATCTTTAGAATCAGGTATGGGTTTTTTTCTCTATGTTTCTCCAAATATTTGATAAAGAATTGGTGTGTTTTTCCAGATGAACTTTTTTCAGCCAATTTTATTGTATATGCTTTCTAATATTACTGAAATGTGTATTTTGATTGTTGAAAAAAGAATGTAAATGAGGACAAGTTCATTTTTAAAGTAAGTTTTATAAATTCTGATTAATGTTTAGATGCATTTGAAATTGAAGTAAAAATTGAAACTTTGATTCTTAGAAGTGGAAGCTGTTGCCTCATTCTGAAGTATAATTAAGTTCTTTTTTCCTTCAGATTTATGGCAATAAATAGGCTTAATTTATTTTTTCAAAATCATGAATTACCTAAAAACTTTTTTAATTATTGTAAAAATTCCTTGTATTAAAGATATATTTTTTCCTAAAAACTCTTGTTTAATAAAAATTTTCTCAAAAGAATAATTCGTTAAAACACTTGTACCAATTTAAAGACCCCTACCAAATTTAAAATACTTTGTAAGTATTTTTTTTAATTGAAAATAATATTATTTACAATTTACATTTGTATTATAGGTTTAGAATTGATAAACTGTCAGACCAGAAGTCCTTTATAATAGATTTAGACTTTGGTATTTGTCTTGAGAAAAACTTCTGTGATCCTACTTTGACAATCTTCAAAGATCAGCTGATCCCTCAACCTGTGTGTGACCTGGAGATGGAATTTCAATGGAAAAGTATGTTAGATATTTTAAGAATGAGCATGGTTATTAGATTAAGATACACAAGAGAGTAATAGCAATAAAAAGCATTTTTAACCCTGTCATTTGAGTCTTCTTTTCATTTAAAAAAAAGTTCTTGCTGGATCAAACCTGGTCACAGTCTTGCTTAGTGTGGCTTCCACTGTTACTAAAGATCTTCATGTGGCATATTTTTGCCAGTTGATTGATTGTTGATTGCTTAATGTCCAGTGGCAAATCAGCCTTTAAATTAGGCTATTAAAACAGTCGCCTGGGCGACCTTTAAAGCCTCCAGGCGACCCTAATTTCATTGTTGGTTGCCATTTGGCGACTGGTACTATTTGAACCTGGCGACCGTAAAAATCCCGATAATCAACCTGCCTCCGGTCATATTTTATTAAGTTTTATTCACAGTCATACGAGCGCTCGAATGAATGCTAAAACTTGAATATGATTTCAAGCTTTATAATCTTAACGGGGTCTATAAAGCGTGTAACTTAACTGGGAATTCAAGCGTCTGATGAAGTGTTTTCGGGTCCAATACATCATGGCAGCCAAACAGATGTTGCTGTCCAGATTTTTCAAAACAACTACCCAAAAAAAATGATTTTTCACCAGCTAAGAAACAAAAAGAAGGGGCGGAGAGTTCCTCTATAGAAACTCCGGCTTCTGAAGAGCCAAGTATATCTTCTAATGTTACAATTAAGTGAATAAGAAAAATATTACAAAATTTATTGATATGCTTTTTTTACTAGTCTTCATTAGCTCTACTGACTAGACTTTCATAACAAATTTCTTAGGCGACCTGAAATTATTTCCTGGCCACAAAAATTTTGAATTGGCCACTGAAATTTTATATCTGGTGGCCATAAGGCAACCTGGTCTTTAAACCTACTTTGAGGGCTGCAAATATGTCATGCATGTTCAGGACGAGAACAAATTAACAATAAGTACAATAGGTAGGTCCTGTAATAGAGGCCGTCTGGAATGAAGGTCATGGAAATTTTGACTGCCTCTGCAAAATGAGGGTATATTGGATAGGGACAGAACTTTTGCGACAGGCCACCTACGGACCCCTCAAAGAATTGTTGCGAGGGTACTTAATGTGCAAAGAGCATGGCAATCTCTTATCATGAGGCATCAGATTTAATGTCCTTTTCCAGGTGAACAATTCAGGCTACTTGAAACATCTAGTTTGTAGGAAAACTTGTCTCTTAGATCTAGAAACAACATACTAGGAAAAATCTGTAACAAATACAAGTATGATAATAACTTTTTTTTTACAGATACATCATTATTTAACTGGATGACAAATAAAGGTCTGCAAATTGGACAAAGTTTAACATCAGCACTTGCCAATGAATTAATGGGGTATTTTGGTTTGAAGCCATTTCTAAATTCAGAGCCATGTGATAGGAATGAAAGACCTTATAAAGATGCAGGAACTGGGTGGAACACTACAGGTATATTATCAGACAAATGGGATTTTTACAACAAATGTTTGTTTTCAAAGTTCCTCCTTTACAACATGTACAACTGGAATGCTAAATGTGTTAACCAATTTTCATTCAACTGCATTTTTCCTGAAAACAATCTTGGTGACATCTGGGACTAAATGGTCACATGTGACATATATACTTTCCACACTTCTTTTTTGTTTATAATTTTGTATAATATACCAAATTTGAATTAAATCATCAGTGTTGAATGTACTTTAATTCACCAAAAAATGGTGCTCAAAAACATGGTATTGTAAAAATAAATTCCATAAACACGATTTTGGGGGTTTTCATTGCCATATCTATAAAATGATAATATGCTGTTTTTTCAATTTCTATAAGGTTGGGGAACAATTTTCAATAACTTCAATCAGAACCATAATGTTAAATATAGAAAATGTTAACACGAAAATTAAACTAATGGATTTGCCCTTTAGTATTTTTCAAAATGCCTGAATATATCAAACACATGTAAATATAAAAAAAAATATTTTGACAGCTTGTCCTGTGGCTTTGTCTTTGCCAAAGATACAGAGTACAATAAGTTGCACACTTCCAGAATCTTGCACAGGAGTTCAGTGTTGTGTAGAGGTTGGAAAAATTAAGATGTCCTACACAGTATATGCAGAAATTGATGGGTGCAACATGAAATTGTCATTTGGCATTGAAAAGAGACATTTTGAAATTCCACTAATTAACTACCAATGGGGTAAATATATATTTCCATCAATTTGAACAATCTTGAAGAACTGTAGATAGTTGTCTTTTTAACCGGATTTTCGAAGGAAATATCGGTTATTGAAATGGTGATATACGGCGGGCGGCTGTGCAGTTCTATGGGCGGCTGCCAAACAGTGTCAGCACAACAACATGAAAACGCTTTAACTAATCTTTTTTAAATTTAAATATGTTGTTTCCTTGGACTTAATGAAGGTCTCTATTAATTTTCAAGATTTTAGTATATCTCCTTTGTGAGTTATCGCCATTTTTAATATCCAAAAGAAGAATTTTCAAATATTTTACTGTTGTTATCATGTTATGATTTGTATTATCTCAGAATAAAAATTTGAGTGACAGATTTATTTGAAAATTATCTATTTCCTAAGTGGTAATGATTATAAGCTATATCATTAGACATTTTGAAGAGTATTACATTATTAATTATGTTAGAGTACTATGTTAAACAACCATAGTTCTGTTCAATTAGATATTATAAATATTTTAGCATATGATAATCATTGGAGTGACAGATTTATTTGAAAATTTTCTGTTTTCTAATAAGATCTGTAGGACTGTATATATAAAGTTTGAAACTTACTAGTATTACTGTATAAATGAAGTTTGGAATTTACTGTTCATTATTAGACATTTTGTAGATAATTAAGTGTCTGTTAATCATAAATATTCTTACCCTACCCCCCTTCAATTTGATAATGTGCTGAAACCATATATATTCTTGTATGTTACAATTCAAATGAAATAAAAGGTGAGTGCCCTGGGGTCACCCCCAGCGTGTCTGTTTGAGAACTTGTAAACAGTCGAGATCCCCACCCCTAAACCATATATATTTTTGTATGGGACAATGAAAGAAATCAAATGAAATATAGGGGAAGTCCATTGTGGTAACCCCCCGCCCCCTTCTGTTTGAGAAATTGTAAACGGTTGAGATCCCCACCCCTAAACCATATTTATTCTTGTATTTGACAATAAAACAAATCAAATAAAATTTAGGGGAAGTCCACGAGGGTAAACCCCACCCCTTTCTTTTTGAAAACTTGTAAACGGTCGAGATCCCCACCCCTAAACCATATATAATTTTTTTTTGGACAATAAAACAAATAAAATGAAATTGAGGGGATGTCTCCTGGGGTAACCCCCACCCCCTTTTTTTTGAAAATTTGTAAACAGTCAAGATCCCCACCCGGAAACCATTTTTCTTCTTGTATATAAAACAATAAAACAAATCAAATGAAATAAAAGTCGAGTCCCCTGGGGTCACCCCCACCTTTTTCCTGTTTAAGAACTTGTAAACGGTAAAGATCCCTCACTCCTAAACCATATATATTCTTGTATGGGACAATAAAACAAATCAAATGTAATATAGGGGAAGTCCATTGGGGTAACCCCCACCCCCTTCTTTTTGATAGCTTGTAAACGGTCAAGATTCCCACCCAGAAACCATATATATTCTTGTATGGGACAATATATCAAATCAAATGAAATATAGATGAAGTCCATGGGGGTAAATCCCAACCTCTTCTTTTTGAAAACTTGTAAACGGTTGAGATCCCCACCCCTAAACCATATATATTCTTGTATGGGACAATAAAACAAATCAAATGAAATTTAACGGAAGTCCCAGGTGGAAAACCCCACCCCCTTCTTTTTGAAAACTTGTAAACGGTTGAGATCCCCACACCTAAACCATATATATTCTTGTATGGGACAATAAAACAAATCAATTGAAATTTAGGGGAAGTCCCCTGGGGTAACCCCCACCCCTTTTTTTTTGAGAAAACTTGTAAACAGTCAAGATCCCCACCCTGAAACCATATATATTCTTGTATGTTACAATAAAACAAATCAAATGAAATAAAAGTCAAGTCCCCTGGGGTCATCCCCACCTTCTTTCTGTTTAAGAACTTGTAAACGGTCGAGATCCCCACCCCTAAACCATATATATTCTTGTATGGGACAATAAAACTAATCAAATGAAATATAGGGGAAGTCCAGGTGGGTAAACCCTACCCCCCTTTTTTAAAATATTCTCCCTTTTCTCATCACTTGGCGTCCGTCGTCCGTTGTCGTCGTCCGTCGTCGTTAACTTTTACAAAAATCTTCTCCTCTGAAACTACTGGGCCAAATTTGACCAAACTTGGCCACAATCATCATTGGGGTATCTAGTTTAAAAAATGTGTCCCGTGACCCGGCCAACCAACCAAGATGGCGGCCATGGCTAAAAATAGAACATAGGGGTAAAATGCAGTTTTTGGCTTATATCTCTGAAACCAAAGCATTTAGAGCAAATCTGACCAGGGTAAAATTGTTTATCAGGTCAAGATCTATCTGCCCTGAAATTTTCAGATGAATCGGACAACCCGTTGTTGGGTTGCTGCCCCTGAATTGGTAATTTTAAGGAAATTTTGCTGTTTTTGGTTATTATCTTGAATATTATTATAGATAGAGATAAACTGTAAACAGCAATAATGTTCAGCAAAGTAAGATCTACAAATAAGTCAACTTGAACAAAATGGTCAGTTGACCCCTTAAGGAGTTATTGCCCTTTATAGTCAATTTTTAACCATTTTTTGTAAATTTTTGTAATCTTTTACAAAAATCTTCTCCTCTGAAACTAGTAAGACAAATTTAACCAAACTTGTCCACAATCGTCATTAGGGTTTTTAGTTTAAAAAAATGTGTCCGATGACCCCGCCCGCGAACCAAGATGGCCGACATGGCTAAAAAATAGTACATAGGGTAAAATGCAGTTTTTGGCTCATATCTCTGAAACCAAAGCATTTAGAGCAAATCTGATGACGATAAAATTGTTCATTAGGTCAAGATCTATCTGCCCTGAAATTTTCAGACCAATCAGGCAACAGGTTGTTTGGTTGCTGCCCCTGAATTGGTAATTTTAAGAAAATTTTGCAGCTTTTGGTTATTATCTTGAATATTATTATAGATAGAGATAAACTGTAAACAGCAATAATGTACAGCAAAGTTAGATCTACAAATAAGTCAACATGACCAAAATTGTCAATTGACCCCTTAAGGAGTTATTGCCCTTTATAGTCAATTTTTTACAATTTTCATAAATTTTGTAAATTTTTGTAAATTTTTACAAAATATTTTCCACTGTAACTACCGGGCCAAGTTCATTATAGATAGAGATAATAGTAAGGAGCAAGAATGTTCAGTAAAGTAAGATCTACAAACACATCACCATCACCAAAACACAATTTTGTCATGAATCCATCTGTGTCCTTTGTTTAATATGCACATAGACCAAGGTGAGCGACACAGGCTCTTTGGAGCCTCTAGTTTTGATAACTTGTAAACGTTCAAGATTCCCACCCAGAAACCATATATATTCTTGTATGGGACAATATATCAAATCAAATGAAATATAGGGGAAGTCCACGGAGGTAAACCCTACCCCCTTCTTTTTGAAAACTTGTAAATGGTTGAGATCCCCACCCCTAAACCATATATATTCTTGTATGGGACAATAAAATAAAGCAAATTAAATTTAGGGGAAGTCCCCTGGGGTAACCCCTACTCTCCTTTTTTTTGAAAACTTGTAAACGGTCAAGATCCCCACCACGAAACCATATATTTCTTGTATGTTACAATAAAACAAATGAAATGAAATAAAAGGTGAGTTCCTTGGGGTCATTCCCACCTTCTTCCTGTTTAAGAACTTGTAAATGGTCGAGATCCCCACCCCTAAACCATATATATCCTTGTATGGGACAAAAAAATAAATCTTATGAAATAAAGGGCAGGTCCCCTGGGGAAATTAATCAGTTTGTGTGTGTTATATTTGAACATAAATTAAACATATATAGGGTTCTTTCAAGTGCTGAATCTGAACTTGTTTTTAATTAGATAATCTGTATTATTTTTTAACACATGAAAGAAACAATATTAGCAACTATTAATTAAATTTGATTATAATATGGAAATAGATATAACATCATATCTGATTTTAGAGAAGTATTTTGCTGATTTTTTACTGGTTTATGGAAATAAGTTTGAGTTATTTGTTTTGAAAAGTGATGTGTTTAATTGATAGATATAAAATCATATCTAATTTTAGAGATTTATGAGTGATTAAGTCATATCTAATTTTAGAGAATTATTTTGGTGTTTTGTTACTGGTTCATGGAAATAAATTTGAGCTATTGGCGAAATATCATTGGTAAATTGTTTGAAACTTTTATGACTTGTCTTATCTCACAATAAAAATTGGAGTGACAGATTTATTTGAAAATTATTTATTTCCTAAGTGGTGATGATTATAAGCTATATTATTAGACATTTTGAAGATTATTACATTATTAATTATTAATTAGATCTGGGTTATATCTTAGCATATGATAATCATTGGAGTGACAGATTTATTTGAAAAAATTCTGTTTCCTGATAAGATCTGTAGGACTGTATATATAAAGTTTGAAATTTACTAGTAGGACTGTATAAATGAAGTTTGAAATTTACTGTTCATTATTAGACATTTTGTAGATAATAAAGTCTCCCTAAACCATATATATTCTTACCCCCACCCCCCTTCAATTTGAGAATGTGCTTTTATATTGTAAACGGTCGAGATCCCCATACCCTAAACCATATATATTCTTGTATGGGACAATAAAACAAATCAAATGAAATATAGGGGAAGTCCAGAGTGGTCACCCCCACCCCCCTTTTTTTTGAAAACTTGTAAACAGTCAAGATCTCCACCCCGAAACCATATATATTCTTGTATGGGACAATAAAACAAATCAAATAAAATAAAAGGCCAGTCTCCTGGGGTCACCCCACCCCCTCCTGTTTGAGAACTTGTAAACAGTCGAGATCCTCACCCCTAATCCATATATATTCTTGTATGGGACAATAAAACAAATCAAATGAAATATAGGGAAAGTCCAGGGGGGTAACCCCCACACCCCTTCATTTTGATAACTTGTAAATGGTCGAGATCCCCACCCCTAAACCATATATATTCTTGAATGGGACAATAAAACAAATCAAATGAAATATAGGGAAAGTCCCCTGGGGTAACCCCCACCCCCCTTCTTTTTGAAAACTTGTAAATGGTCAAGATCCCCACCCCAAAACCATATATATTCTTGTATGGGACAATAAATGAAATATATGGTGAGTCCCCTTGGGTCACCCCCAACCCCCTCCTGTTTAAGAACTTGTAAACGGTCGAGCTTTTCATTATTAATAAGATAATACCACATTGAGGTCCAAAGGGTCCTAAATTAAACTTTTGTTTAATTTCATCAAAAATTGAATTCTTTGGTTCTTTGATATGCTGATTCTAACAATTTTTGAGTGTTAATTCATATCTAATTTTAGAGAACTTAGTCATCACTGGTTGTTGTTATTATATTATTGATTATAATTTGAAAAATTGCATCATATCTTATTTTAGAGAACTATTTATCCAGTTTGAGTTATTTCCATTTGCACAGAAAATAATATGGATAAAATTAACCTGTGTTTCATTTCAACATAAATTAAATATATATATAGGGTTCTTTCAAATGCTGAATCTAAACTCTATTTAAATATTAGATTTTTAGGCCCAGTTTTCAAGTTGGTCCAAATCAGGGTCCAAAATTAAACTTTGTTTGATTCAACAAAAATTGAATTTATGGGGTTCTTTGAAATGCTGAATCTAACCATGTATTGAGAGATTTTGGATTGTGGGCTCCTTTATCAAATTAGTCCACATTGAGGTCCAAAGGGTCCTAGATTAAACTTTTGTCTGATTTCATCAAAAATTGAATTCTTGGGGTTCTTTGATATGCTGATTCTAATATGTACTTAGATTTTGGATATTGGACCATAATAGGTATTTAAATGTCCAATTTCAAATATATCAGTTCTTTGACTACATTCATTTTCTGTCACAAACCTATGATGTGTCAAATATTCAATGACAATCCAAACTCAGAGCTGTTTTAAGTTTAAATGTAGTGTCCATACTTGCTCAACTGTTCAGGGTTCGACCTCTGCAGGAAAATCCGGTTTGCTGTCTCTCTGACAGCCTCTTGTTAGGAAATGTAAGGATTTTACATCATTTTGATTGTTGAAAAAACATCAGTGCTGTAAAAACATGTGATATTATTCAATACTAATTCATGATCAGAATTAAGTTTATTCTTGTAAAATGTTATTTAATTTTCATTGTAGAATAATTTTGTGCTTTAGAATTTAAACATATTATTTTCTAAAAAAGTTTTGTTTTATTTTCCCATAGTTTTTAGGTATTTTTTCACTTTGATATCATTTTGGATTGTACATTCAATGATATCCCGAAACTGTTGTAATTGCAGGGACTGAAGAAACTTTCAGTTTGCTGAATGTAATAAAATTAAGGTAAATTATATAAAAAAGCTAAACATGAAGTTCAATAAGTCAAGGTCAAACTTGGTATCATTGGTAACTTTTTCCACATCACAAAGACACAAACAGGAATTTCTGAAAACCTAAGGACAATGATTTAGACATAAAAATGGTAAATGAATGCAATTGAGTGTAATTGATTATATTTTATGTTCACACTTCCAACATTTCTCTACGTGATTTGCAATAGAACCTCTTTCTCTGATTTTCATACAATTTTTTGTGTATAATTTAGCATTTTTTGTGACACCATAAGACATGCTTGCCTTTTATCATGCTATTACTATAATTGCAAAACCATATGTTGAAAAAAAAATCATGATTGAATATTGGTTAACAATGTGTTGAGAGTAAATGGACCACACATATATTATAAAAAAAGCTGTCAGGAAGAGTATAAATTGCCAACAAATATAGAAATGTATTACAGATTTTCATATCATCTATCCATAATGTACTAGAAGATAATAAAAGCATATCTGCTGTTTATTGTCTTTCCATGACATACAAAAACAACAGAAAAGAATAATTTTACTTTTTCCGATTTCCCTGCACAATTTGCAAGGGGAAAAGAACTACAATTCTATCTATTGTTTTCAGGTTTTCTGTGCACAATCTACAAGGAGAACAGAAATACCTTGTGAATATGAAACTGAGTGTTTGTTTAGAACCAAATGGGGCTTGTTTATTGTCTACATCAATACTAGAAAATTTAAAACTGCCAAAACTAGCTTGTAACTGGTTAGATATGGGATTCAAAATTCCAGGTACTTTGTTTAGCTTTAAAGGGGGATAGGAAAAACTAGGTTGAGAAGGGAAAAAAGAGTTAAGTTTTGATTGGACAGTTCAATATGTTTAAGTGTCTGCCAATATATTTATATACTCTCAGTAAGACAAAATAATACTAACAAGCTAACTCTGAGAAAAAAATTGCAATATATAATTTAGTTTTCGTTTTGTTTTGAATTTCAATATTGCAAAATAAACATCTCAATCAACATGTCAATCAGTGACTTAATTTAAAAGGAAAAAAGGTTTAGTAGAAGCCTTAAGAACAAGTGTTGTTTAAGGCATGATAGTTCATTAGAAAATAACTAAAATTTTCCTCCCTCCTGTTTGCCAATATTTGTTCAAAAATTGAAATCACATGCAACATTTGTATATAATTTTTATTGTACCATTGTTTGTATATTTTATATAGATTTCTCACTGACAAAGTTTAAAATTGACAACAGTATAATAGGAAATGTGAAAGGTCTGATGTTCATGAAACTTTTGGAAGAACTTGGAATATCTACTTATCTTCATGAAGAACAATGCAGTAGAAACTTGCCACCCTATTTACCTTCCACACATGGTTGGTCTAACAGTAAGTTGATTTAATCAAATACATGCAATATCAGGGTGTCTGTGAATATTCTAGAAATATAAAAGATATGTTTAAAGTGTAAAAAACTGTAAAGAATCATACTTTGAATAATGAATTCCTGTATAAATACTTAAATTTATGTAATCAAAAGTTAACAATTTTGTCTTGCCATTGTCCTTGACCTTTTTAGATCACCTGGCCTGAGAGGCCAAGTGAGCTTTTCTCATCAGTCGTCCGTCGTCGTCTGTTAACTTTTACAAAAATCTTCTCTGAAACTACTGGGCCAAATTTAACCAAACTTGGCCACAATCATCATTTGGGTATCTAGTTTGAAAATGTGTCTGATGACCCTGCTGGTCAACCAAGATGGCCGACATAGCTAAAAATAGAACATAGGGGTAAAATGCAAGTTTTGCCTATTATTTGGAAAACCGCTAGGAATAGAGAAAATATGACAAGGGCAAAAATGTTCTGTATGTTGAGCTCTATTATTGTTCCATTAAGTCAAAACTGTCAGATGACTTCATGTAGGAGTTATTACCCTTAGATGATGAATTTTACCATTTTTTTAAAATTTTTGCCTACTATCTCGTAAATTATAATAGATAGACAGAAACTTTGAAAGCAAAAGTGATCAGCAAGACAAGATCTACAAATAAGTCAACATGGCTGAAATCTTAAGTCGACTCCTTATTAGGGTGATTGTCCTATAATGACGATTTTACAAATTTTTTGCGTTTTTGCCTAATATCTTAAAAACTATATTAGATAGATAGAAACTTTAAATAACAAAAATGATCAGCAAGACTAGATCTACATATAAGTCAACATGACCAAAATTGTTAGTTTTTTCCTTATTGAAATTATTGCCCTTCAATGACGATTTTTCCCATTTGTGCCTATTATCTTGAAAACTGTAATAGATAGATAGAAACTTTAAATAGCGCAAATGATCAGCTAGACAGGATCCAAAAATAAGCCATAATGACCAAAATCTTCAGTCAACTTATTATTGAAGTTATTGCCCTTTAATGATAATTTTTAACATTTTTTTTGCATTTTTGCGTATTATCTTGAAAACTATAATAATTAAATAGAAACTTTAAATAGGAAAAATTATCAGCTGGATAAGATCTTCAAATATGACAACATGTCTGAAATTTTCAGTTAACTCTTGATAGGTTATTCCCCTTTAATGATGACTTTTACTAAAAAGTGGCCATTGATGAAGATGCAGGTGAGCGACACAGGTTCTTTATAGTCTCTAGTTTCATGGTTCAGTGACTGCTTGAAATAAAATCACTGTTTTTAGAAAAGTGAAATTATCTCTTTATTATGAGTAATAGGATAAATATATTTGGTATATGGGTTCATTTGCAAGGTCTACATTTCTTTCAGGTAGGGTTCACCTGACCTTGATCTCATTTTATGGATCAGCAATCAAGGTTAAAGTTACGTGGTCAAGTCTGTATCTCAAATACTATAAGCAGTAGGTCAACTATATTTGGTGTATGGAATGATTGTAAGGTGTACATGTCTGACTGGTAGGTTTCATCTGACCTTGACCTCAATTTCATGGTTCATTGGACAATGTTCTGTTTTTTTGGTTGGTCTATTTCTCTGATTTTATAAGAATAGAAATGTTGTTGTTACAGTGTTAAGACGTGGTTTGGTCTATTTCCCAGGTACTATAAGTGATAGGACCACTACAGTTAGTGTATGGAATGATTGTTAGGTGTACATGTCTGTCTGGCATGGACCATCTGACCATGACATTATTTTCATGGATCATTGATAATGTTAAGTTTATCTGATACTTATAGTAAAACCTTCATATTATAGACTTTCAACATGAATTCAATCATAAGCAAAAAAGGCAAGAAATTTCAGCGTGTGCACTCTTGTTGTTTTAAGTGTTGGTTTTCTTTATTCTTTTTCTTACTTTAAAATAATGAAGATTTAATACAAAATTTGTACGTGTCTGATCAATTGCAGATATTGTCGTTCATCAGCTTTGTGGGGTGGATTCTTTTCAGAAATCTTTATTGACCCAATTCAATTCCTTAATATTATTTCAATTTAGATGTGGTCCATTGGTTCTTTGGGTGTGGTCACGTTTCTCCAACATTTTATATATATTTTTATATACAGGTAAAGAATTTCTTGTTGGAGAAACGTGATTTTTTTATATTAGGGATTAACTGATTATACCTGTAATTTGAGTTACAGTAAATCCCGCTCAAATGAATTTTTTAATGATATATTAACAATACCAAATCAAAAAGTCAAAATTATAAATATATATAAATTTATTGTATCAAAGAACATTTAATTAATATCATACAAACAACAGAATCAGTTTTTTTGATAAACAATATAAGCACTAATAGACAAATAATTTAGAAAATCTTGAAACGCTGTAAGTTTAAATAGCATATATCAACCAAATGAACTATTTAATAAAATAATAATAATACCAAATGAAGGTCAAAATTAGAAAAGTATATATATATTTAATTTATTTTTCAAAGAGCACTAATATCATAAAAACAGAATCATTTATAAACAATATAAGCACTAATAGACAAATATTCTCAATAAAATAAATCAGACACAAAAAATATATTTTTAAATACAACAAGTCATGTAATTAAAACATAAATTTGCACAGGAAAATGCATAAATTTAGCATTACATCAAATTTTGAAAATGGACACAGTGAACAATTCATAAACGACATGATTGTTATTTTGCATATACTTTACAAATATATTGAGCCTATTTACAAATTGTCAATACTACATGTATACACTTCATACTACTGTCGAATTTCCATGTGGAGGATGAAGGTTGTTTGATCAGCGTAGTCCTGGATGGTAAGTTCATCTTGAAGAAAGCGTGTTAATTGTAGCTGGACATAACAGTACGATGCATTTCCAATAATGTCTGTCACCTCTTGTAGTCTTTACCATGTACTGGTAACCATTCTGCTCTAGTCGAACTCTACCAAACTTGTTGGTTCCTTAGCCTTGTTCCACGTTAACTGAACTGTCACCTGGTCAGTACTTGCCGAAAATTTCCAGACAGGTTCTTTTCCAGACACGTTCATGGCAGCCAATAAAGCAGTCAATTCATTTGGGAATTCCATTATTATTCCAAGTACTCTCACTTTTATGTATAGAAGTGTTCAGTTTGTTTGGCTTGGCCTTATGCCACAATAATGATACAAGATTGAAATAATTATTTTATAATTAATGTATTAATATAGTAGTAACTAGATATCATTGAGATGGGAGCCATCTCTGTGGGCCCCGCTGTGAATAATGTGTGGTAAAAAAATTGTACCTTTATCATTGGACATGGGGTTATCAGCTAAAACCAAAGTTTTTGACCTTGACCTTTGACCTAGGAAGTTGTACATACATTATGACACACCCTCTGGTGTTGGTTAATATACATGTCAAGTACAAAATTTGAAATCATAACGGTTCTCTAGATATAGAGCAGACACAATTTGTTACGGACGGACAGACGGTGGGGCCCTAATTAAGTGTCAGTTTAATTATTCTTTATTACATAAATCTTAATTCATAAATATTTTTATTATCATAATTGACTTATTTCTTCAACAAATTGATAAACAAAATATCATCTTTTTACTTTTTAAGATATAAATGGTTTTCAAATTGATAAACATTTTAATAAAAGATAAAAATCAGCAAAAAATTACGAAATTATTTGTTGTTACTTAATTCCATTAATATTTTTATTTTGCTGAATTTGCTTATTATTTAACATTTATTATCAAAAAATTCAAAAATTTAATTTTTATTATAAATCATAAACAGGTTTCACTATACCTACCCAAAAACAACAATTTTAATTGTTATATAAACACCAAGCCCATCTATTGTTTGAAAAATGTTGGATAAACGTGAGTTGGATTTTTCAAATGTTGGAGAATCGTGACTAAACCGTTCTTTGCAGCTTCTGTTGTTACATTGAGTCTATTTTTGAATCATTTTAATCATACACGTTTAACTTTTGCATCCGTTAAGTCGAATAAATTTTTTAGTCCTGTTGATGGAAAATTAATGTAAATTAACCCTGATGTCTGGAAGTTTGAAAGTAAGAAGTTTTGAAAAATGCAGACATAAAGATAAAAATTCAAATCAGATGTTTTTCTTAAGTGATTAAAGCTGTGTAAACACAAATATTTGTATAACAGTTAAAATGATATATTTATAGTGACTGGTAATTAACACCTTTGTACATCGTCAAAGAGTACCTTTAGTGTGATGAACATATTTCACCTGATTTAAAAACAATGACCCAAGCCAAGATTAAAAGAGTTGTTTGAATTAAATTTCATTAAATACAATAATTAAAAGATTTAGACAATTATAAAAAAAAATAACAATATTTGAATACAAAGCAGATGACCCTCATCGGTGATCATTCAGGACTTGTTTCGGCAAGTGATTCCATAATTTATAATGACTGACCTTTGTTAATATTTGTGTATTGATTACTTTTTGGAATTATTTGTATCTGTACTTTTGTGTTTAATTATTTTGATGAATAAAAAAATAAGGAGCTTGATTACTCAATCATGGATTGTCCTATCAAAAAATGCACGATGTTCAATAGCTATTCTCATAATCTCATACTGTAATTCGTGCATTCAAAATTTATTACGACATACTGGACCTCAGATAAGTCGAATACTTTTGTCCGGCCCCTTTGACTTCAAATTGACAAAATTCTACTGTATTAATTATTTGATCTTACAAATGAAATCCTAGAATATTGTATTAATTACAGATTGTAGCTCTTCATCTATGCCTAGCCTGCCACCATTGTCTGGTCCTGTCACCTGCAACCTGATGGATATCTGTACAGGTATACAGTGCTGTATAGATGTAGAACAGCTGAGCAGGTCCATCAGTGCATATCTAATTCTAGATACATGTAGTTACAGCTTAGAAATTGGAATAGAAAAACTCACATATAAGAAGTCTCTACTGGATTTTGACTTCGATCAAAAACAAAGATTTAGTCTGTTGAATGTCATACAAATAGAGTGAGTATAATATTTTTTTTACTTCCGAGCATCTTTATAAACTATCCAGTCATATATGTTTCTGGTAATCTGTGTATATTTACAATCAGTATATCATTATGTTGTAAAATTATAAAATGCATTACTATGCGGTATGGGTTTTGCTCATTGATGAAGGCGGTACCATGATCTATAGTTGTTAAGTTCTATATCATTTGGTCTGTGGTGGTGAGTTGTCTCATTGGCAATCATACCACATCTTTTTATTTTTATACATGGAGCTGAAATATTTGCATAGGCTTGATTTCAAGGTAAAATGTATACCTCTATAAAAGCAAAAGTAATATCTTTAGTAAACAAAAAATATTAATGCAGAGTTAAAATATGTTAAAAATAAAGTGGCTTATTTGCAAGTTGAAAGTGATTTTTAAGAAAAATCTCCCTTATCTTTATTTCAGTTATTCCATAGATGACATGAAGTCACAAGACGTATATTTAATCAACTTGGACATGAGCGTATGTTTTGAATCGCACAGCAGCTGTGAATTTACCATTAGTATATTCAAGAATATGTATTTTCCTAAACCACTCTGTAAGGCTAGCTCACTCAATATAGGTATGTTCTTGTCATGATAACATGTTGCTTTCTTCATTCTGAATATGCATGAAATATTTGCCACTGGACATAAGGCAAACAAGAGTTTCTAAAAGAAGTCTAAAACATGGCTTGATTATTTTCTGAGAAATATTTTTAGCAAAATTCTGAATGTATTAATGTACATTTAGAATTGTGTATTGAAAAAAAATTATTATCAGGTTGAAAAAGGCTTCTTGAAATAATATTCTGCTAAACATAAATGTTTTTGGTTTCATTAGATCAAGTCACAGTAAATGAAAACAGCTTATTTTATTGGTTTTTTGGTACTTAAAGTAGATTTATGAGTTTTTCATTAAACAGTTGATCTTGTCTTTCATAGGTGATTTGGAACTCAACCAAGAAAAATGGGGTTAAAAATATAAGGAATACATAACAGGACTCTGTCCATCTAGACCCTCATCTTTATTATACCCCATGCAACAAAGTAGTGTAGCTTATAATGTTTTTGACCCGTCAGTCTGTCCGTCCCTCCATCAGTATGTCAGTCCTGTTCTTGTCATCTCAACTGCTTTGAAACCACACAACAGAATTTCATGCAACTTTGTAGATGATACGAACAAACTATGTAGTTGTGCATATCCACAAAAAAAATTTCAGTTGACTTTTGTAGGGGTTATGAGTCTTTGAAGTTAGGAATCTGGTGAGCTTTTTTTTCCCAGTGACAATATGGGGGCATGGGGTATGTGTGCGCGATTACAAAGGTTCTTTAATTTCTTTTCACATTCTTTTTTAATACAGATTTCTCTTTGGACAACTTTCTCACTGATGAAGGGCTTAACATGAATGATTTGCTGGCTGAAGACGTTGTGCAGAAACTAATGGGACAGTTAGGACTATCATCTTATCTTAACAGTGATTCTTGTAGCTTGGAATATGAACCTAATAAGGATGGATGGATCAAAGGTAACTAATGAAAATGAAGAATATGGTGTTTTAATTCATGATACAAAATCACTTTACCAACTTGATAAACAAAATTACAGTGAGGTCTTTAACACAAAGCAATTGTTAAGTGATATTTTTATTAACAAAAAAAATGGATTATTAATACACAGCATGTTGACATGTATCATCGCACATGCATTACCTGTCCTTTATTGCCGATTGGGTATTTTAGTTCAGCTTATATCTATTAATAACAACCAATGATATAAGGAATTCCCTACTGGCCACTCTTGACATCTCGCTCTCTAATTGCTTTGTGAGATGTGGGAAGGGAACCAATCAGAACAAGGCCCTTATTTCAAATTATCCAATCGGCAGAGATAATTAATTATCATCCTTTTGTTTTAATTACTGCGTGCCTCATTTAGGCATTCTAGATAATACAACTGCATGAAGCAGACGCATTGCAATTTGGCATTAGCGAATTTAAAATATATATATATATTGGCTTTAAACATCGATAAATTTTACGGGAAAAATTGGTTAAAATCCTTGGAAATGGATATTTCGGCAATGTTGTTAAAACCAGTGAAAGTATAGAGAACTTTTGTCTTGAGTAGCTGAATTCCCGAGAATGATATTTAACAGTGATACACTGTAGACTTTTGTGCACATTCCGGCGATGGAATTTATTGAGATCTGCTGTTGACGTGTGTAATCCTTGCATACCGTGTTCTGGTGATGGAATTTATTGTGCTTCCCTGTAGACTTTTGTAGTTTTTATCCTGCACGCTCCGGCGACGGAATTATCCGAGTCAGAAATGCTCTGCTTTAAACTTTTTTAACATTTGTACCAAATAGTATATTTGCGACTATAGGCGATATGGCGAGTGACAGTGAAGGCGAAGTAGATTTTCCACGTAATGTCGAGCAGGTACAGATGTGGGCATCCACAATGAAGCTGAATCCAAACACAGCTTCCGAATTAATAAGACTTGGCTTCGATTCTATGGAAGCGATTTCATTGATTGAAAAAGAGGATATGCCAGCTTTTAATATTCCGCTTGGGCAGCAAAAAGTGTTGATGCGAGCTGTTGGAAAAACTTTCAAGGACGGTCGCGCTGAAGCTGGGAATATGGCGGACACGCACCCTTACGGAAATGAAAACAAAGCTACACAGAGAACTTCCGCTAGGATACAAAATGGCGGCACCAGCAACCAAGATGGCGACGGTGTAAACAACAAAGATGGCGACGATGTAAACAACAAAGATGGCGGCGCCCATACGTCAAACCCCCGATCGGAGAATGCCTATGTGCAAGAGATCCTAAAGATGATGTCGAGGGAGAAGAACATTACAGGACAATTTGTGAATGACTCTCATAATTCTTCCACAGGTAGAGACAATTTGCTGGTCAATGACATTTACTCATGGAAAGACCCTCAAATATTTTTAAAGTCTACAAATTTTGATCCTAATGTGAATTTCTTTGATATAACTGATTTTGTACCTAATACTTTAGGGGGGCACTCAGAATCAGAGGAATTAGTTTCGGAATCGTCAGGGGGCAAATTAGTTTTCAAATCGGGGCCTGTCAAGCCAAAATTAGAAACATTGTCGGTAACACAATGGTCTATGGCTAATTTGTCCATAATGCATAAGTTGATAGCTATAGGGGAGTTACAATCATCCCAAGTTATGGATTATTTATCTTATACTATGCGCATTTATCTTTTTCTTTCGAGCTGTGAGTTGGTGTCTGTTTTTTTCCTTGATCGGGAATACCGACGCCCGCAAAAGCAACACCAATTTAGATGGGGTACAGACATTCCCCATCTCCATTCTGTATTTTTGAGGCCAAAGTTTTTGCAGAGTCAGAATTCCTGCATTGCACCTCAAACTCAGAGCTCGAAAGTAATGGCTAATAAACATGCAGTTACATATGCTTCTCATTCTCCAGGGGGAAGGATGATTTGCAAGAAATTCAATAGTCGTAGAGGCTGTTTTATGACACACTGTAAGTTTGAGCATTCATGTGCTATACCTGCATGTGCTGAAAAGCACCCAGCATTTCAGCATACAAAAAACTAGATACAATGGTGAAGCCTACGCGTGCTCTTGATCTAATTTCATGGACTAATGAGTTAAGTGATGATTTTGACAAAGAATTTTTGTTATTTGGCATAGAACATGGATTTGACATTGTCACTAATGTCCCCCTACCAGAGAATGTACGCTCCAAAAATCATCCTTCTGCAAAGCCTAGTAGCCCTTTTTACAAACAGGCACATAAACAAATTTTAACAGAAATTGATAACGGAAACTATATTTTTGTCAATTCCCCCCCCAAAATTATCAGTCCGCTTGGGGTTATCCCTAAATCTGATGGCGGAGTTCGAATTATTCATGATTGTAGCAGACCAATAGGTTTTGCAGTAAATGATTTTGCAGGAGAATTTGATAAACAAAAATTTCAAACAGTAGATGATGCATGCAAGTTAGTTTCAAAAATTTTTTATATGTCAAAAGTGGACCTAAAGGCCGCTTACAGATCTGTCAAAATAAGTGAACAAAGTAGAGAGGTCACTGGGCTTACATGGACTTTTCCTGATGGTCATGATTACACTTTCATAGATAAAAAACTTCTGTTTGGATCAAAATTAGCACCTGGTATTTTTCATAGATTATCTCAAGCAATTCGCAGAATGATGTCACGTAGAGGCTTCACCATTGTGGCATATTTAGATGATTTTTTTATTTGCGAGAAGACAAAGAAGCGCTGCCCTCAGGCGTTAGCAATTTTAATTGCGCTGCTCAGGAAGTTAGGTTTTTGTATCAGCTGGTCTAAAGTAACAGACCCCTGCCAACAGATTGTATTTTTAGGGGTTGAGATAGATTCTACTACTTTAGAAACTAGACTTCCTATTGCAAAATTGCATGATTTGAAATCAGAATTAGCTGAATTTTTATTGCGTAAGCGTGCTTCAAAAAAGCAATTGCAATCTTTAGCTGGAAAGCTTAATTGGGCGTCTGCTGTGGTTCGAGGCGGGAGAGTTTTTCTCCGTAGAATTATAAACGGCATCATGCGATTAAAGCTAGATTGGCATAAATTGCGTCTGACAGGCGAAATATTGCAAGATATAAAGTGGTGGCATAACTTTATTTCAACTTTTAATGGGAAGTCAATTTTACTTGCAAAGGTTCCTATCACCTCTGTAGCTACTGATGTTTGTAAATCAGGTGGAGGGGGTGTCTATCAAAATGATTGGTTTTATGTAAATTGGGCAGAAGATCACCCCTTTGCTTTGAAACTTCACATAAATGAATTAGAGGCTTTCTCAGTGGCGTTAGCAGTAAAGCGATGGGCCCCATATTGGCGTGGTCAGCGTATTATAGTTCATTGCGATAATGCGGTAACTGTAAGTTGTATTAATAAAGGTACATCAAAAAATGCTATTTTGATGTCCTTTTTGCGTGAGCTCTTTTGGTTATCAGCAACGTATAATTTTCACTTGATAGCTAAGCATGTTCCAGGCAAAACGAATATACTAGCAGACTGTATTTCACGGATGCATGATCTACCTTTCTGTGAACAATTTTTGCGTGATTATGTTCGACCACCACTGTATTTACAGGATCTTGTTAGGCACATGTCTAGTAATGCCCTTCGTTTTCTTTTATTTAGGCTCACTGGTATCGAGGGAGGTGAGATCACTGGATAGTATTGTTGCTAACTTTAGATGTCATTCTTATGCTGAATCTACCAAAAAGACATATTTAAACTATTTCAAGTCATACGCAGAATTTTGTAGAAGATTAAATATTACCCTTGTTCCATTAAGTCCTATGAATTTAGCCAGATATGTAGCCTATTTATCTTCAAGGTTACAATTTAATTCCATAACAAATTATTTGTCAATTGTGCGGTTGCTACATTTAGAATCAGGAGTTGCATCTCCGATAGATTCCTTTTTTATGGAGTCAGTACTCAAGGGTGCTAAACGTGTGTTAGGTGCTGGCATACATAGAAAATTGCCTATTACACCAAAAATTTTGAATGAGATATTTACTTTACTGTCAGTCAGCAGTAGTAAGGACTTGTGTTTTTGGGCAGCCTGCTTAGTGGCTTTTTTCTCCTTTTTAAGGAAGTCAAATTTGTTTGCCCCTTCAATTTCAGCTTTTGATCCTTTGCGACATTTTACTCGTGAGGAAATCCATTTTCACTCAGATGGTGTCTGTTTAAAAGTACGCAAAAACCAAAACAATTCAATTTTCAGAGCGTATATTAGAAATTCCCCTTCCTAGAGTGAAGAATTCTCATTTATGTCCCTCTAAGGTGCTTCTTTTAAATTTTAAACAGGTGCCAGCAGTGTCAGCCCCCTCACCTGTCTTCCTGTATTTAGTACGAGGCAAGGTTACCCCTCTTACATATACAGCCTTTGTAAAGATGCTAAAACAGAACTTATCTAGGTTGGGTTATGACAGCAGCAAATATTCGGGACATAGTTTTCGCAGAGGAGGGGCCTCCTTTGCCTTAGAATGTGGGGTTCCAGCTGATCTCATACAATCACAGGGTGATTGGAAATCTAATGCATACAAATCATACTTGGATCCTTCTTTTGCACACAGACAGGAAGTCATGGACAAATTTGCAGTTGCCCTGGGGAAATAATAAACCATTTAACCTACCTTCTACTGGTTACACCACACATGTTTGGGAAGTTTGGAATACCACAGATTATTAATTGATTAATTTGTGTATTGTTTTCAAACTGTACTGTTGTTTGTGTTTTATTAATATGAAATTTAAGCATTAAACTGTGGTTCTTTTCCCAAACATGTCTTTGTTTTACACTAGTTACCATCTGGATTCATAGGTTTCCTGACTGGATTCCGATCAGAGTTAGACATTAACATGCATCTGATCTGAGACTGGTCTAGATTCCAACAGCATATATACACACTATACACATACACAGGGGGGAGGGAAATGGGTGGGGCCGTTTCAAAGTGATGTGGATTAATGTGATATTTTTATTAACAAAAAAAATGGATTATTAATACACAGCATGTTGACATGTATCATCGCACATGCATTACCTGTCCTTTATTGCCGATTGGGTATTTTAGTTCAGCTTATATCTATTAATAACAACCAATGATATAAGGAATTCCCTAATGGCCACTCTTGACATCTCGCTCTCTAATTGCTTTGTGAGATGTGGGAAGGGAACCAATCAGAACAAGGCCCTTATTTCAAATTATCCAATCGGCAGAGATAATTAATTAATTATCATCCTTTTGTTTTAATTACTGCGCGCCTCATTTAGGCATTCTAGATAATACAACTGCATGAAGCAGACGCATTGCAATTTGGCATTAGCGAATTTAAAATCCCATCCTCACCCACCCTATTTTATTTTTATTATTTTTATTGAGATATTTAGGTTGCTTCATCAACTAATTATAGATATATAATTGATTTAATTTAACTGTATATTTTATAAATGTGTAGAGTAGATTATATTACAAGAACACACAGTTTTGGTTTCATATTATAAATGTAATATTCCCTTGAGTGGAATACCACAGATTATTAATTAATTAATTTGTGTATTGTTTTCAAACTGTACTGTTGTTTGTGTTTTATTAATATGAAATTTAAGCATTAAACTGTGGTTCTTTTCCCAAACATGTCTTTGTTTTACACTAGTTACCATCTGGATTCATAGGTTTCCTGACTGGATTCCGATCAGAGTTAGACATTAACATGCATCTGATCTGAGACTGGTCTAGATTCCAACAGCATATATACACACTATACACATACACAGGGGGGAGGGAAATGGGTGGGGCCGTTTCAAAGTGATGTGGATTAATTCTTAATGTTGTTAACACTATATCTATGCATTTTAAAACACAGATACTGGGTAATAAAAGCAAATTACAAGCCATAACTGTGAAAGAAATAACAATTCTAATGCAATTTTTATGTAACAAAATTTTTTTCATGGCTAAAAGTTACCATTGAATCCACAGTTGACATGTCGTAACTAAGGAGTGACCTGCCATTTTGAGTTGATTGGATCAACAAATGTTCGATTACTTCAATGTTAAAGAAATTTGCCGTTTTGATGTGATTTTATTCAAATTTGAATCGTAGAAGTAATGTAATAACCTTCAGTTTGTAAGTTCTCATTTGTATGATGTCACATTAAGCCATGATGTCTATGTGCCAAAATCATACATGAAGTTTCACAGAATTTTATTTTATTTCAAATTTCAAATTTTTTTTTAGGTCTAATTTATTATTTCTTTTTGTAATGCATTAGAATAGGAATAACAGTACTGTAGTTGGAGAGTTGCCGCTGTCAATTTTTATTTGATGGTCCTAAATATTCGTTTTACTGTCTCCTCTATGCGTCTCCAGTAAACTGCATTTGTGAGTGTCAAATCACTAATTGGGCGGCAACTCTTCAACTGCAGTAATGTTAATCCTTTAACAAATACTGTTATAATTTCCCAACACTTCCATTGTGAATCATGCATACAAACCAATGCTTGATATTTGAGGTTAGTCACTATAGAACAAAAGTATGCCTTCAAAAAGCTGTAACTGCATACAAGCAAGTACAAAATATTGATAGATTTTATTTTATTTGGTGTATTTAAATATTTTAATTTTTTTTAGGGTGTTTTGAAGAAGTTTCACTACCAACTTTGCCAGACAATACAAGATGTAAATTTCTACAGTCCTGTTTAGGTATCGAATGCTGCTTAGGTGTAGAATTCTTACAGCACAAATTCAAAGCTTCATTTGAACTTGATGCTTGTAATCATCAGTTGCACCTACGGATAGACAGATACCAGAAGACACTAAATTTGACAGATTACAAATATGGTATGTATGTATATGTATTGTACTGAATAAAGTTACAGCTAAGACATGATAAGATAAACAATAATTTACACACATATTCTGAGTTATGATCTAGACCAATGATAGCACAGTCAAATATAGATCTCTATCTGATCTCTTCATGCATTACTACTTTTAAGCCTTCTGGAAAGATCATCCTTCATACCAAAATGATGCATTTTATTAAGAAAGTCAGCAGCTCAAACAAAAATAATATATATAATGTACTTTTCTTGCTTCTTTTGGCTTCTTCAAGGTTCATATTTGATCTACCAATTGGTCATGGAAACTTGTTTGGATATGCCTCTGAAAACAATTCTGCATCCAAACTGTACATTATATACGGAGGTGGGATTGGTTCATTGTCTATTATGCAAATGCCGCTATCTTTATATAATGATCACCAATATACTTAAAACAAGTTTGTCTATAGTTCTCATTCAAAGCTTACTAAGCAAATTATTTCAGATTGTAATTCCTGTGTAATTCTTTTCAAATTGATATGCATGTACATAAAGTTTTTAAGTGGATATAGATTATAGAATATTGATTCAGTAAATTCTTTTAATAAATTTGTCAGGAAAATATTACAATAAATTTGATTTGTCTATTTCCAGGTACCATACAGAAATTTTACCTCATGAATGTTGTAAGAATGGAGTAAGTAACAACAGCTTATGCAATGTTTAGCAGTAAATGATAAAGTAGAGGCTGTTATTCTAAATCAAAGTGATATATTGTGCCACTTTGACTGCATGATTGCAATTCCATTGTTAACGTTCAGACATTGGCAAAATTGTTGTTTAATTGCAGTATATGTTTCTTAGATATTCAAATGTTTTATTTTTAACATTTTCCAGTATTGCATTATCACTTCTGTAATCGAAGAGTTGCCAACATCAATTTTGGAGCTGACAGTGGCAACACTTCAAATACAGTACTGTTATTCTTTAAAACATTCTGCAAACTTTACTTTTGTTAAAACTTTGACAGCATTACTTGTCTTACAACTGTTTTAAATGTTTGTAATATGCCAAACTTAATAACTCTCATGACAACTACATGAACTGGCTTAAATATTAAAAACATAAACATGTTATTTATTCTTTATTTAAGGTACATCATATATGATCTTGAAACTGAGAAAAAAATCCAATCCAGTTTGAATATTAGTCTCTGCTTTGAATCTTACCATGAATGCTTGACAACTGTTGAAGTCTTCAAAGATACCAAGTTGCCAAAGGTGTTTTGTGATTGGGGGACTGGTTTTCCTCAAGGTATTTTTTAAACTCTGAACAAAAAAATTTCAAGAAGTTTTTGAATATACTTTCATGATAAATTTATGCTGAGATTAAGACAGACACTGTATAAATAAGAGTTTTAGTATAAAGCTGAAAATTATTTTTGAAGGGCTTTAATTAATTATTTTTTTTGATACGGATAATTAAAAAATAATCTTTTGTCTTGTTGGCAATGCAGGCATAAATCTTTTTGTTCTTTTTATTTTGTATAGAGTTTTCATTGTCAACATTGTTCAAGGAGACAGCTGAGACAATTACTGATGTATTGCCTTCTCATATTGTTGAAACTGTCTTTACCAGACTAGAACTACAACAGTTTTTATTATCACCATCTTGCTCAAGATCAGCATCACCCTTTTCGAAGAAGTATCCTTGGATTAACAGTAAGTTCATAAATAACATACATTTTCAAAGTTTTACTTCGTACTATATTTGACCTTTTTGACTTTTTATGCCACCGCCATTAAGTTTTATCCTTGTCTATCTGTAATTACGTAAGTTCCGAAATTGGTTTCCATTCTCTGACTTTAGTTTGCCTCAACCAAATTTAATGAAACTTATACACAATGCTTATTACCACTAAACACAGATCAAGTTTGAATATTGGTGACGTCACTGTTACTTTTCAAGAGTTAGGCCCTTTACAAATAGAAAAATGGCTGAATTTTTCGTTTCCGTTCTCTAACTTAAGTTTGCCTCAACCAAATGTTATGAATCTTATACACAATGCTTATTACCACAGAACACTGATCAAGTGTGAATTTAGGTGGCGTCAATTTTACCGTTCTAGGGTTATGCCCCTTTACAAATGGAAAAATTGCTGAATTTTTCGTTTCCATTCTCTTAAGTTTGCCTCAACCAAATGTTATGAAACTTATACACAATGCTTATTACTGAAAAACTCAGATCAAGTACGAAATTCGGGTAGCGTCACTTTTACTGTTCTTGAGTTGTGTCTCTTTATAACGTTATATGCAAGGGGCATCTTCTGTGTCCTATGGACACATTCCCCATTTATTTTATTCAAGCGTCACTGATGAGTCTTTTTTAGACGAAATGCGCGTCTGGCCTACAAAATTTCAATCCTGGTATCTATGATAAGTTTACTAACATGTGGTTTAATTTATTTTTCAACTAGCTGAACATTGTTTAAAGGCCCAGACCCGTGAGAGAAACTATAAATTTATCCATAAATATACAGCATTTCCAAAATTTCTCTATCATGGGCAGGTATCACAAGCTATCTCATGATATTCCATATCACTAGACAAAATGATGTCACAATTCATTTTTCAAAGATTTACTAAAGTCAGTCAGAATAAAATCTTTGATCAGCTACTGCTTAAAAGTCCTTAAGTGCAATTTGTTTATATGGAAGAAGAGAATTTCTGTAGTTCAATATTCTTACATTTAAACCTCAAAAGCGTGCAGATTTATATATATTTTGATTGTGAAAAAGTTCATTTTTTGAAATGAATACATGTATTTTTTTTCAGATTGTTCCCTGACAACTGATGCTGTACCAACTTTACCATCCGATGTGTCCTGTTTTGTTCCTGATTCTTGTTCCACATTGGAATGTTGCTTAAGTGTTCCTGTCATTAATAAAACCCTCAGAATAGATATATCACTAGATTTATGTTTATATGAAATGGAAATTTCAATAGAGGATTTGAATGTGAAGAAATCTCTGCTATCATACACATGGGGAGAAGAAGAAAGCTTTTCTCTTCAGGGAGGAATCAAGCTGAAGTAAGATATTTAAGAAATAGTTCTTTCACAGGATGATCTATGCTTATTTTAACATGAATAGGTATTATATTTGTAAATATCAATACTGAGGATTAGCGAGTGATAATTCTATAACATATGTCGATGTTCAAAAGAGTATAATTCATGAAAAGAAAGAATTATTAAAATTCGAATAGAAAAATTCAGAATTTTTTTTCTTTAGAAGTGGATCTAAGACACATCTGAAAGGCAGATTTTTTTATTTGATGAAGCTAATAAGTTATGGAGGAACAACTGTTTTACTTTAAAAATGTTCAAACACAGAAATCTCCTTTTTGATCTCCAGCATCAATAAAAAGGCCTGTGCATTGATGAACATTAGCTGCTTATAAAACAAATCTGCATTAATATTATTATTGCTGTTATTTCTTTTAGGTATAAGATTTTTGACCTAGTTAATGAGAGGGTCTACATGATGGACTTGTCATTCCAGCTTTGCTTTGAGTATTCTCATCCTAGTGACTGTATTTTGAATCAACACATTTTAAACAAACAGAAATTTGCAAAACCATTGTGCAGTTGGGAGAGAGGATTTCATATTCCAGGTTTGAATTTCTTTTGACATGAAAAATGTGTGTAGTTATGGAATTTCAGTAGCAGAATAAAAAATTGACAAGACCTAGTAGTTTACTATGATAGTGAATAGTTACATGGCTTTGAATAAAATTGATAATTATATATATGTAACAGGGTCGTATCTTGGATAAAGAAATAACTAACTCTGTTTATAGGGTTCGGATGATTTAATAACCAGTAATAGAAAATAAACTCTGAAATAACAATATCACAATTATCAATAACAGTTCTATTTTATAAAACGCAAGTATCTTAAATTACACATTATCACATATGGTAATAGTAAAATACAATGCTCTTTATTACTGTGTACTATACTACTAATTCAATAATAAATACAGTCAGTTAATTGATGTCACATGTACTTTTATTTCTCATTGTGATACACTACACAAGAATGTAAACCTTGATCAAAATAGTGTACTATATAATGTTTACTGATAAACTATGTGTACGGTACAAAACTGAAGTTAAAAATGCATGAATAACATTAAACCAATCGGAACATAAGATATTATTTGTTCTTTACATACTATTACATTACAACAATCATTAAGTTGTAGATACTATTTTTATAAAGACTAATTATGCCAATATATTAAATATGCTTAAAACCGCATATCTAAAGGGAAATAATACATAACGTTCTGTTTACAACATTACATAATTAAAATAGATTGACTCTTACCACTTGTGGAGTGAGTTTTACTGGTAAGGAATAGGCACAGTTCACAAGTAATACTCTGTATATATCTACATCAATCGAGTCCTAAAACCAAAATTTAATCATAAACATTCGGACTCGTAAAATATTAAAATATACAATTTAACAAAATAACTCGAGTTCATTCATAATTATACTTCTATCATTACAGTGTATAGTATAAGTGTACTAATAAATATCAACATTAACACTTTTCCTTATTTTGTTTAATATGCCGCCATTCATGAAATATCAATTATCTGTGTCAATAATCAAATAGCTACGCAAATTATCTTGTTCTATATTCTATCGTGACAAATTAACGGTAGATAATAAAATATATGTAGCACGAAGCTAAATAAAATATTCTCGGGTACATCTATCATACTAATGTAATAACCAAATTTTACGAGGAGAACGAAATCATACAATAGAAACTTTGCTAACTTTATCATTTACATGTGAAAATATAACTTATATAATAAAGAAAATAACTTACATTAATCAGGTAATATGTTGTGTCCACAATGAATGAAAACAATAATATACAGGTGATATAAATTCAGGACACACAATATCATGCGACTGTAATTTTCAAGTTCCCGTTCAAATCTACCTGGTCAATACAAAATATAAATTGACCGCGAAATCACAATGACCAATCAGATACGTAATTTAAAGTAAGAACCTTTTGAATATTCATGAACTAAATATGAAAAGTAAAGTGTAGATTTGCAATTAAATAATAATATTCCTTTATCAAAATTCAAGAGTAAAATGTTTATAATAAATACAATTAATTTAAAGTACGTTATAAAGATATTTTTACTGTTATTTAATAGGCGTAAAAATGACACTACTACATATATATATAACGCAGGTTGAATATGCTTAAATTTAGAACGATTAAGAAATATTTTTTTGTCTTTGGTCCATGTTCTACATTGGGGCTATAAACAGATATCAAAATTATGGTTGACCCTGTCAAATATTCAAATGCAATACTGTCATTCAAAGTCTAATGCATAGCTGACTCTTTCTTTCTCAATAAAATAACATTTTTGTATACAGAAATTTTAAATGTAACGGCAAATAGATTAAAGTTGACATTTATTTTGTAACAAAGACCAATGTAGATTTTAAGATGGAAAATATTTGTAAATTATTACGAGTGCAAAACATTAGATTTGAATTTGTATTGCTTCTTATATTAACTAGTTACTTAAAATCTGACAGGATTAGTTTAAGGTGGGCATTCTATTTATTTTGTGTATATTTTGTTAAATATATGAGATATAGAAATTTCAAGAATATGGTGGATTCTTCTAACTCATAATAATCTCATTTAAAACTATAGACTGAAAAATTCATGCAGATTTTAACATCTTTTACAGGATTTTCATTGAATAAATGGCTGTCTGATGCCAAATTTGATGACAAACTAACACTTGATGCTTTTGTTGTGACTCAGTTGGTGGAAGAAATGGGACTGAGAACATATTTAAAAGATCCACAGTGTGATAGAAAGACAGACCCATATGTAGCCATTAACAGCTATGGATGGAATATAAGTAATGGTGTGTCGTCCCTCTTTTATCACTCTCCCTTTTCCTGCCTCCAAACATTACTTATGTTAAATAACAAGCATTTTCATAATGTATGAAACATAGATTGAAATTTTATTTTCTGCAAATGCTACATATTAAATGTCACAACCATTATAGAAATTTTCATGCTAATATGGTGTTTTGAAAAAAGACAACAACAAGACAGAATAAGTTGAAGAAAGTACAACATGGCAAAAAAGGAAGGAATGACAAACAAGTAGTCTGCAAAAAAATCACAGAAAATCAAAGATTGAGTAGCATAAACCCTATTGAAAATTAAACATTACCCATGTTCAGCTTAGGCTTTAAAGTGATGCTTTTATGTTGTGTTTTATATTCATTTGTATATTTTTAACAGAATGTGATGGAATAAACATGGGTTTGCCATCACTCCAGTCAGGTCTGTCCTGTCACATGACCAACAGTTGTACAGCAATAGATTGTTGCTTAGATGTAGAAAAACTTGGACTTGCTCTTAATTTTTATCTTACACTGGATACCTGCAACAACAAATTCACAGTTGGAATTGAGAACCTGAAAAGAACTATATCAATCATTAGTATGGGATTTGGAACAGTACAAACATTTTCCTTCATGGGACTTATTAAAATTGAGTAAGTGATAAGAATCCATTAGTAATCACTTATTGGTATCAGTAAGTAATCATTATTAGTTGATAATCACTGATTGGTATAAGTCAGTAATTAGTGTCAGTAAGTAGTCATTATCAGTTGGTAATCACTGATCAGTATAAGTCAGTAATTAGTATCAGTTGGTAATCACTGGCCGGTATAAGTCAGTTATTAGTATCAGTAAGTAGTCAGTATCAGTTAGTAATCACTAATCAGTAGAAGTCGGTAATTAGTATCAGTAAGTAGTCAGTTTCAGTTAGTAATCACTAATCTGTATAAGTCAGTAATAAGTATCAGTTAGTAATCACTAATCGGTATAAGTCAGTAATTAGGATCAGTAAGTAGTCAGTATCAGTTAGTAATCACTAATCGGTATAAGTCAGTATTTTTATACATGTAAAAATGAAAATATGAATTAATAGCTGTATTCCTATATGAAAATAGGAAGATGTGGTTTGATTGCCAATGAGACAACTTTCCATTAGAGACCAATTGATGTAAAAGTTAGCAACTATAGGTCACCATATAACATTCAACTATGAGCAAAACATATACCGCAAAGCAAGCTTTAAAAGACTATGAATGAAAGAATAGGTAGGGTATATGTCAATGAGATGAATGAAAGAAAAGGTAGGGTATATGTCAATGAGACCGCAACATGATAACACCAAAAGAGAAGACATCTTAACCCTTCTTCACAAGTAAAATAATGTTTTCACCTTACATTGAATTGTTGAACTAACAAAGATATAAGCCAAATTACACACCATGACATATTCCATAACAGACAATTATTTTTCCAGGTATTGTACAGGTATTCGTCATATTACGAGGATGTTTTTTTTTTTATTTTAGTTACCAGTTCTATGAATTTCTTAGTGAAAGAACATATGTTGCCAATATCAACATGAGTTTATGTTTTGAATCAACTGGATGTTTTCTACAGCATATAATACTCAAGGATGCAAAACTTCCAAAGCCTCTGTGTGACTTTAATGAGGGATTTCCTATAAAAGGTAAAATACTATTAAAAGTGATGAAATCCATTGAGACAGTAACCCAACAACACAAGTTTACTACTTATTACTTTAGAACCTTTTTTGTAAATGTTTTATTATAGATTGCATTATATAAAGGTAGGAACAGTATTCAATGGAAATTTGAGGTAATAAAAAAAAGGTCCTTGAGACAGCAACTATACAACACAAGTTTAGAACTAAGTACTTAAGGAGCAGTCTTTAAAAATAAATGTTTTATATATAGGTTGCAGAGTAATATCTTTTTGAAATAAAGTTAGTGACATGAAATTCCAAATTTTCCTATTGTGTATTGATGAATGAAAGTTTTTGTCATGTTGAAATGTTGAAATTCATTAAAAAAAACTCATAAGTCGAAGATAAACTGATCATGCCATTAAAAAATATTGAAAAAACGACGAACAGATAAGTCTACTAAACACCACATAGAAAACTCAAGACTTAGCAACACAAACCCAACAAAACTCTAACTATCTCAGTTACTCATTGATGATGTGTATGGGCTTTTTTTTACCTCCGTCACCCAAGTCATAAGCAGGTCTAGTAACTGCTTGACACCATATGTCCGTCTGTCTGAAACAAAACTTTCGTCAAAGTTTTCTCCCCTTCTATGAAAGGAAATAATCTAATATTTGGTCTGCAGCTTGACAATTTTGAGTTGAAGGGAGTAAGCAATTTTAACATCTGCCTTGTTGCCACTTCCTGTTTGCTGAAAGTTTGAAATTTTACAACACTCATTGTACAAGGAAAGTTTTTGTCAAAGTTTTCTTGGCTTCTATGTAAGGGAATGATTTAATATGTTGAGTTGTAGCAAGTAAGCAATTTTTACATCTGCTGTGTAGCCACTTCCTGTTGGCTGATAGTTTGCTGAAATTTTACAACACTCGTTGTACAAGGAAAATGTTCATCAAACTTTTCTTTGCTTCAATTGAAGTGAATGATTTCAATATGTGGTCTGGGAATAATCAGTTATGCTCCATTATACATGTTACCTCAATCAATTGCATGCAGCGACGCAGGTCCAGACCTGGTATTAATCTTGTTTATATGAATTGTTATCTCATTATTTCATTGAAGATTTTTCACTGACGAAATGGTTAAAACAGTATGACTTGGAAATTGGGAAAAGTGTACCAGAGTTTGCAGTAGATTTGTTGTTTCATCAAATGGGAATCTCTGGATATCTACAACATCCTCAATGTGCAAAATCCATGTACAATCCTAACATTCAAGGCTGGAATACTCTAGGTAAATATTTCTGTGAGCATTTCTAAAGCACTAAAGAAAGTGATACAGAAGTGATTATGCTGCTGCATTTAAAAGATGCTGTGAAATTTCTACTTATTATTTATAAGTCACTTTTAATAATTAGAGATGTGTGAATGAAATCTATGAGACTGCAATCACCAAACATTAACATCAGTTATAATATTATTATTTCTGTATAGAGGAAGATGATGTTACTATTCGAACAAATTTAAAAAATCATAAAAGATTAAATTTATTCTTTACTTAATTTTTAGCATGTTCAGCAGATATTTTAGTACCAACCCTACCAGTTTATGCAAGCTGTCATCTGCCAAGTTACTGTACAGGACTTCAGTGTTGTGTAGAGGTACCTCTGCTCCAAAGAACATTTGAAACACATGTATTATTGGATGCATGTGCTTACAAACTGAGTATTGGGATTGAAAATCTGATGATTAACGAATCATTGTTTGACTACACTTTTAATACATGGAAAACTATATCTTTGGGAAACATCTTTAGGCTTCAGTAAGTATTATTGTTTAATCACAGTAATGCTAAAAACTAATACTGAGGATTCATTTATTTTCCTGGGTACCATTTTTTGTGGATTGAGTATATTTTTGTCGATATTTGATTTTCTGGTTTTGCCAAAGTCTGCATACATGACTATGGAAAATGTGTCCTTCCTTGAACATTTAAATTCACAATCCACAAAATTGGTATCCAACAACTAATAATGAATCCACATTTCATGATGTTGAAGTTTTTTTATCTGACCCCTCAGGGCTTCGGTATTTTTTGAAAAAGCACTTACCCATGGGAAAGTTATCTTATAATTTTACTTTTCCCGCATCAGTTTCCATTTTCCTGTTCTTATTTTTTTTTAAAGTCTGAAAAAAAGCTTTATATATGAACAATTAAAAAACATAAACAACTTTATTTTGGTTTGATTACATTATTGTTGAAGTCTAATAATTTCCGTTTCTTTGATGAATCAGCGGAGATAAAATATTTATGCAAACTCATGGCTTCATGACCTCCATTACTGTTTACTGATAATAACTAAGTACCGCTGTAAACGCAAGGAAACAAGTGATTACTTCAGGGAACCAGTTTCTAAACTAGATTTTGTCTAATAATCGACTTTGTCAAACAAGAATACGACGCACCGGAAAGTACCACATATAGACAATTTACTTACCCAACGGGAAACTGGTATCTGCGTTTTCGTTTACCCAACGATTTTTTACTTTCTCCAGGAAAAGGGAAATCGGAATTCCGAAACCACGCCCCTGAAACGAAATCTGGGTTACCTTTTACAAATTGTCAAATTCATACCAGAAGTCTGACACAACATACATGTATACATCTGTGTTAACCTATATATATATATGAAATTCCTGCTTTTCAGTAAAACATTAACTAGGAATTTTCAGAAAGCAGCAGCTTAAAAACGAAATGATGTTAATGAACAAAAATTGTAAATTTCTACAGAAACAACCAAGCTACCCTTTTATTTATGGAAGATAAACTCCACTGGAATTTCTGACTGATTATAAATTACAAATGAATCTGAAATAAGAAAAGGTTTCTTCTGATTCTCAAGTGGCAGTAAAGATGCAATGATTTCATTTTTAGATTTAGAATAGAGGAAATAACAGTTGAAAAGATCTACCTGTTTGATGCCCAGATCAGTGTTTGTTTTGAGACCAATGGTGACTGTAGATACAAGTTTAACATATTTGATAGTGTACGGATACCAAAACAATCTTGTTCCTGGTCAGACAATTTTGTTATCCCAGGTAATATTATACATATATCATTATATTAAATTATCACATCCATCAATATAAATAACTTTATTTTAATTATTTTCGTTTATTTCATTCAATTTATTCATTTTATTTATTTAGTTTATATGATTTGATTTGATTTGATTATTTTATTTTATTTTATTATGAAACAAATGTTTTCATGATTTTATTCAAAATTGTGAAATAAATGATTCAATTACTGTTCAAAGCTTAGTTATATTTTAGGCCATGGCTATGCATGTATTTTGATTTTAGGTTTCCAGATAAATGACTGGATGACTGATAATGGACTTAGTGGCTATGTGAAGGATTTGCCATCAGTCCTTGCATCTCAACTGATGGAAGATGTGGACATAGCTAGTTACCTTTTGAATCCATCATGTGACCTATCAGCTGATAAATATAAAACTGCAAATAACAATGGATGGAATTCAGGTAATTAAGAATGAAGTTGTTTTAATCAGTAGTTGTCAGAGTACATATAGTTAAAATTGTGAATAAAATCCATGTACAATGTATAATGATTATACATGGATTTTATTATTAATCAGTTTTTTTTTACTCCTTTTGCCATGTGTTTTAAGATATTCATCTTGCAAGCACAGAGAAACTTGCCATATAATAGGCACTATAAATGAAAGGTATGTTCTTGACTTTATAGTTATACATTGAAATACAAATTTTTGTTGAAATATGAATTACTTAACTCTTCATTTTTTTCAGACTGTGGATCAGATATGAGTCTCCCTGATCTACCAGATTTAGTCAATTGTTATCTAGATGAGACTTGTACTGGGTTTAGTTGTTGTGCAAATGTTGAATTTATCAATAAAAACATTAACATCTTTTTGAATATCGACCCATGCAGATATACACTGAATATTGGCATAGAAAAATACCAGTATGAATTTTTCTTGATGGATTTTGAATTCGGAGTACAAAAGCAGTTCCATATTGGAAAAGTCATTGAAATAAGGTATATTGATTGACCAATTTCATGAATATTCTATATTTTTTACGAAGTTATTTGAAATTTAAGTTCTGTAAAAGTAATTTTCCATGTTTATGTCTTAAATTATTTAATGTATTTTAGAATTAGGTGAAATTTCCCATTCCTCCCATTTCTGAGTATTCAAGACAAGTTATTAATCAGGTGGGGTCATATATATGATAAAATGCTATCTTTTGTTGTAGAATTGCAATCATTAATTAGATGTATACCTTAATGAATATTTAATACTTTTTCATTCAGCCCTTTGGACTATGAAATACCACTATAACTGCTTTATGAAATTGTTCGTCTTATCATCGCTTTTCATTTTTATGCCCCACCTAGGAGGGGCAATATGTTTTTTGGTCTGTGCGTCCGTTCAGTCGTCCGATCGTCCATCCTTTCGTCCGACTGCCCTGCTTCAGGTTAAAGTTTTTGGTCAAGGTAGTTTTTGATGAAGTCCAATCAACTTGAAACTTAGTACACATGTTCCCTATGATATGATCTTTCTAATTTTAATGCCAAATTAGAGTTTTGACTTAAAAAATAAAACAGTAGATATTTTTTTCATGTTTGAACATTTATGTTTTTTTTCAGTTACAAAATTACAGACTTCCAAGGATTGTCAGTATACTACATAGATTTGGATATCAAAGTTTGTTTTAATGATGGAGGTCCATGTGCTTTGGAAGTAACGATATTTTCAAATACTGAATTACCAAAGTTACATTGTGGTTTAACTAAAGGATATTTAAATTCAAGTAAGTAATGTTAGTCCAAATGTATTCAGATGCCCGGAAAAATTGGTTGAAGATACTGGCCTAACTGTCTTGAAGTAAAGATCAGAAAACACTATAGAAAGAGCTGTATATGAATATAAAAATGATTAAAATCCAATGAAACAGCTGTTAAGACCAGTAGGAACAGTTTAACACAAAAAATGAAACATTGGCGGAATATAGAATACTTTGTGTGTTCCATATAAACCTCTTTCTTTTTTTGATAGGTATTTAGATAAAAGTCCATTTCTATATTCACATTAACTGCTCCAAATATTGTTATTATTATTATAATACACCTGTTTAGGAGATATTGCATGTCAGACAGTAAATTCCTGCTTGCCTTTACTTTGAATTTTTCATTATGTTAAATGAACTTAAGATATTTCATGATACATTTCTCCAGTAATATTTAACAGAAATATTTTGTTATTTGGTCAGCCGCTTGACAGTGATGAGTTGTAAGGTGTGAGCACTGATCAAAACTGTCAGACACCTACTTCCTGTGTTCAGATACTGTAAATTACTGTTAGGTATAAACAAAATTACAAGTGAATAATGTGCTATATTTTTAACCTGAAATTTGAAAATTCAAACAGATCAATCAAAAATTGTTATTTTAAAGTTTTTATCAGCCTACATCAATATGTTACAGTTGTGGTTGTTTTAGCATTTAATTTGTATCTTTAACTGCAGACTGGTCTCTATCAGAATGGTACAGTAATATGCAGATTAATCCACTGGAGAAACTGTCAACAAATGAAATATTAGTACTAATGGATACACTTGGGGTAGCATCTTTCCTCAGAGAGAAACAATGCAGCAGACATGATCCCAACTCTATATTTGCAGCTCAGTTCCAGGGATGGAGTACAGGTAGGTCAAGGATTTATGTAAAGAACCATGCACATAGAATATCAAAAGCATATTGAGTTTGAACCACATGACCGTCTTTCTTGAATCCACTCTTGTCTGTAGACATTCCTCAGGATTCTTATGACTATGATAATCATTAAGATTTCCTGAATTATACAAATTATTGAAGACTGATCAGAGTGAGAATTATACTACAATTACCTTTTTTGTCCATTTGTCCATGACGTTTGTTACATAATACTCATAATTTGTAGTAAGAAAGGATTTGATATTTGTCTCCAACTGCTGTAAAATATGACTTCTTTTACAGAATGCAAGTCAACTTCCATAGCCCTGCCACTTCTTGATACCTCTGTTGTAACGTGTTACTTAGATGGTGATTGTAATAGCGTCCAGTGCTGTCTTGATGTGGAATTCATTGACAGATCTTTCCATTTTTTTGTTAACTTTGACCCATGCAACTATATGATAAAGTTTGGAATAGAGAGATTAGAGATGGATATCTTGTTGGATAGTTATCAGTGGGGTGAATGGGAAGAGATGGACCTGTATGGAGTACTCAAGATGAGGTAAGTTATATTGGTGTTGACTTTTTGACACTTTTAACAGGCAGAACATACAGAATAACTCGACAAATAAATAGACTCAAAATTCTCATTTTTTGTAATAATTTAACATATGAAAAAGATTTCCAATTCAAATTTTCTGTTGTTTTTTTAATTTTTTTTAATGACAGGAAAAAATAATACAGTAACATGTTATTGTTAAAACAACAAACAATTCTTTTCTAGCATTGTTTATATAATCCTTTCAAGAAAATTCTCTTTTACAATTCCAACCTTTTTTAGCTAACCTGGCCAAAAAGCCAAGTGAGCTTTTCTCATCTCTTGGCATCCTTTGTCTGTTAGCTTTTACAGAAATCTTCTCCTCTGAAACTACTGGGCCAAATTTAACCAAACTTTGCCACAATCATTATTGGGGTATCTAGTTTATAAAATGTGTCTGATGAACCCACCTGTAAACCAAGATCACCGACTTGGTTAAAAATAGAACTTAGAGGTACAATGCAAGTATTGTCTTTTATCTTGAAACCGCTATGAATAGAGAAAATCTGACAGGGGCAGAAATGTTGAGAATTTTGAGATCTACCTGCTGTCTATTTAAATCAAAACTGTCAGACGACTTCTTATAGGAGTTACAGCCCTTGAATGTCAAATTTTATCAATTTTTTTCATTTTTATCTTTATTATTTTGAAAAATATAATAGATACAGAGAAATTTTTATTAAGAAAAATAATAGGCAGGACAAGATCTACAAGTAATTCAACATGGCTGAAATCATCAGACGACTCCTTATTGGAGTTATTGCTCTTAATTGATGAGTTTTTACCATTTTTTTATGTTTTTGCTTTATATCTTAAAAACTGTAATAGATACAAAGAAACTTTGCAAAAATGGTCAGAAAGTCAAGATCTACAAATAAGTAAAAGTGACCGAGATCGTCAGTTGACTGCTTTATACTGAAGTTATTGCCCTTTAATTACAATTTTTTTGCATTTTTGCCTATTATTTTGAAAACTATACTAGCAAGAATTATCAGGAAGACAAGATCAACAAATATGTTGTCCGTCTGTCTGTCGGTCCATCCATCCCTAAAAAATTATGTCTGCTCTATATCTTGAGAACCGTTATGATTTCATACTTTATACTTGACATGTATATTAACCAACACCAGAGGGTGAGTCATATTGTATGTACAACTTCCTAGGTCGAAGGTTTGTCCGTCTGTCTGTCGGTCCATCCATCCCTAAAAAATTATGTCTGCTCTATATCTTGAGAACCGTTATGATTTCATACTTTATACTTGACATGTATATTAACCAACACCAGAGGGTGTGTCATAATGTATGTACAACTTCCTAGGTCAAAGTTCAAAAACTTTGGTTTCAGTTAACAACCACATGCATATCCATACAAATTTTTACCACACGTTATTTACAGACAGGCCCACAGAGATGGCGCTCATCTCAATGATTTCTAGTTAAGAATAAAAGGACAAAAGGTGAAAAATAATAGCCAAAGCCCAATATGACAGCTATATTAAGTAATTAACAACTTAATCCAGTTATTAAACATCTATCAAAACAGACGACTTATTTGATGATTGAGTAATCTTAGTTTATTTTGTTTCATATTGTTAAACAAATGAAGACCTAATTAATGGATTTTTTTTAGAATAATAAGTCAGTTACATATGCTCTGATATTTTTGGAAATATCACAAAATTAGATACATGCAAATTCATCAACAATACCAAAATTGTGAAAAAAAGTACATATACAGTAACTCTATAAACAGTAACTCTTTATAGAGTTATTGCCCTTTCATGATGATTTTTACCCAAAAAATGGCTATTGTTGAAGATGCAGGTGAGCGACACAGGCTCTTTAGAGCCTCTTGTTTTTCATGTATAAATTAGTGAATTGGAAATGGGAAAACACTACATAAGGTAATATTATTATTGAATAACATTTAGGTACCTGGTTGATAACTTTTTTGCTGAACAACAATATGCCATTTCCATGACCATCAGTGTATGCTGGGAATCTAAAGGAGGATGTCAAGAATTTGTCATACTTGATAGAAATAGAGTACCTAAATCTGTGTGTAACTGGAATAAAGG